GCAAACCTGTGGACTGGTTACCGGTGTGCATCCAAATCCTTAAAGTAGCTTTAAGTGCTCACAATGATCCACTTATCCAGCGATAATTAATGATATCAGACCTGGGAGTCCCCATGCCCTGGCAGGGGAGATCAAAGCACTCTACAGCGGGGTCTGTCTGACCATGAGCGGGGAGGGGGTCAGCCCTTCTGCAAGTCCTTGGCACCTACTGGCCCTGGTGGAGCATCCCGGGAGCGAGGAATAACCAGTGTAGCTGGTGATAACGCCAGGGAGATGGATGCCTGGGAGCATCTGCTGCTTGGAAGAGCAATGGTGGGTTGGGTTTTATTCGCTGCCGGATGCCATGTTAGGAAAGGTCTTTTGGCGCAGAGCTGTGCTGGTTGGCAAAACACCAACTCCCATGCGGGTGACGCTGTGGGAGTGAGGGGGAAGGAGGAAGAAATCACAGCTCCTGTCTTGAGTCCCAACCCAGCTGGAGGCATCCAAAATGCTAAAGCTCGGAGCACCCTGTGAAGGCAAAAAAGCGAGCGGCACCTCCAGATGGCAAGCCACATCTCATGGAGAAAAGCGGGGCCTCAAGGCAGCAGCATAAGAACAACGTTAACCAAAATCTCCAAGAGCACCCTAATAGCAAAGCAAGGGCTTTTAAAGTAAAGTTTATTCTAGAAAATGGAGTCTCAAAGCTTCATATTTAAACTCAGCAAAAAGTGTGGTCCGGGAATGAGTATGCTGTTCCTCAGTGTCCTCTTACACTATCACTTGCAGCCCCCAATTTTATCATCAGGGAAACTGTGGCAGATGTCCACAGCACACCCACAGCTGCAAAGATGAGCAGTGACAGAAAATACGGAAGTGTGCGACATGATCATTTATTTTCAATCCGTGAGACCACTTTACAGCAGGGGACAAATCCAGTCTGAGCCAGCAGAAACCATTCCTTCACTTCTTTTGCATTTCGCTCTTTACCCCCTTGCTGCCTCGGCTGGTTATAGCACCCATCACTTTCTGCTATGTCTGCTGCTCTCTGGTGGCCTGCCCATGCTTTCCAGCATCATGGCCAAGGACCAGGTTTTCTTCTTCACTATTTTACCAAAGGCTTCACCAGGTCATCCATGCCTTTGCTTTCCAAGTGGTGCCTGTGATGCCACCTGCTGTGGAAGCCATGGTGGTGGCACCATGAGACTTTACTGCCTACAGTTGTGGACACTGGAGAAAACTCCCTGATGGACTCAATGGCCCCTCTCATGATTGTTTCCTGAGGATCAGTTCAAGATCCTCTTTGGTTGTTCTCATGGACTTGCATGACATGAAGAAGGACAGATGTGGTATCAGTGCTGAAAATGTATATTTTTGGATTGGTGCTGATCAGGCTACTTTTCCAGTGCTTCTCCACTCTGTGAAAGTTATTTGTTACTTTTGCTGTTCATTACTTGTCCTCTAGCAGGGTGTCATCACCTCTTCTAATGTTTCTCTATCTACGCCAAGGATTACTTTTGGGCCATTAATAGCCACAGATTTAATCTTCTCCTCATTGATAAACAAACTAATTTGTTCTGCTGTGTCTGCTAATAGCTGTGTCTAGGAACTATTAGCAGCTCTTAGGTGCTATTTTCTCCTCTACCTTCTCAAAAAATATGTGGCCAGTAATATTTTAATGGGGTTAAAAGGAGCATACCTGTTTTTTCCATCTATATTTATAACCTTGCATATGCTCTTCCCAAGGTGGATGGGAAAGATTTTGGGAGCTTTACTCTAGAGATCATTAAATTTGGTCTATTTTTCTTGGGTACAAGCTGTACTTTGTAGAGGTTTGAGCCTGCAGAGGCCAGGGGGGCTTAAGCGAGGTGCAGCCAAACCAATTTGCAGGTGCCATGGGCCCAGGAGAGATGGGCTGGCCAAAGGTCAGCATTTCCCTGCCGAGAGGCACACTGTGCTCAGGAGGGGTGGCCAGAGGGTTTAGGTCACAGGAAGCAGTTCTCAGAGCCACAGCACACCTGAGAAACTCCCTCATTCTCTAATTAAAGTTACTGGCTCTTTGGAGTGGCTCCCTGGAGCATCTTCTACCAGTGAGCTCCATCTCCAGAGGTGCAGATGTACTTACAACCCTCTTCACCATTAGCAGCTAACCCAAAGGTGACGGAAACCGAAGGGTAGACCCAGTTGGTTACACTGGGCTTTGGGTTACACCCTCTGTTTTATGGATCAACCCTTTGTGCTCTAAGCAGCAAGATAATGTCCCTGGCCTGGAAGAGCCTGGAAAGTTGTGAAATCCACAGTCTGGCAGGAGCGTCTCCCTTGGGCCCAGCGGCCAGCAGGGCAATGGGGACGGCTCACATGCCCTGCACCCAGGCGGCCACCCGGATTAGTTTATAAAGCAGCTGAGATTACTTGTATCCCAGTGAGTGGCCCCCTTCTCTGCTTGCACAATGCCCCTTTTGAAGCAAGGGCATCTCTCATTGTGTGGCTCCAGATAAACTGCAGAGCCTCCTCTACAGGCATCGCAGGATTTGGTTGCAAGCATTCCCATGATTAAGCACCCTCCTCGGTGCCAGGTTCACCTCCCCGTCCTTTGTCTCGCGCCACTGCTGCTGGTGGGGCGGTCACATGCTGCTGCTCCACGGGTGCTTGGACATGCCAATGGGAGCACACTTGCTGGAAACCACACAGAGACAAGGAGCACTGAGGATGCACAAGGAGCACCAGCTTCCCCGCTCCGTGCCATGCCGCCGGGTGCTGCTGCACCCCGCACAGAGAGCAGAGCAAAGCCTGGGGGGGACAACTGCTGGGCCCCGGGGTGTCCCCATTTCCCCGTGCTGAGCAAAAAGCTACACTTCTGTAGCTCAAACGGCTCATGTGCTTAAATGCATTGCCCCAACTACACATCCCCAGCTACCAGTGGCCATACTGGGGCACCTCCCAGGGGCTGACCACCCCCAAAAGCTGCAGACCCCTCCAGGTGCCTCAGGGCTGTGTTTCGGCAGGCTGCTGGTATAGCACAGGGGTGCATTGGCAGGCGGTGCCTCCTCTGGGGCTATTTGTTTCACAAGCCACCAAATTCGCCCTCCAGGGAAAAGGAGGCACGTGGACACTGCTGTGTTGCTCTCTGCTCCGCTTTTGGGGCAACACATGCCCAGGGATGGGCAGAGCAGCTCTGGCAGTGGCTGCCAAGCATGAGAGCAGCGGTGGAGACACGGGTGGCGTTTCGGGGTCCTTGGGTGCTCTCCAAGAACTTGCTTGCCTCTAGACCTAACCTTTGCTGTCATTAAAACTTGCACAAACTTGTAACTGTTAACTAGTTCCCCCGTAGCAGGCTTGTTATTTTTTCAGGACAGGGTTCGAAAATGCTAGACATCTACAGTAGTAAAGATTTTATTGTGCTGGCAACGGACTGTAAAACTTGATTACATGACACCGGGGATTGCCTAAACCTCGTTCCCACTGATGCAACTGCTCGGGGTCGGGGGGATGTGAGTGAGGGAGGTGGCTTTGAGTCACGTCCAGAGGTGGTTTGGCACGAAGCACAGGAACCAGGAGCAGCCCACTCCTACCCAGCTGCTCCCACCCTTCAGCCAAGTAAGCCCAACATGGAGCTGAGGATCTGGGGAGGTCACGGGAGGCACACGTAGCTGAAACGATGGATGAGCATTTGGCCCATCGCTGCCTAATCACATGAAAATCATGGGGAAGCCCAACCTGGAAGGAGTGAGCTGAGATTTTTCTGTAGAAAAAGCGTCTCCATCAAGAAACGGGCTCCCCTGTTGGCCCCCTCTCTCAGTGCTCTCTCCCATGCTGACATGGGAGTTTTCCCTCTAAGGCAAAACTTTCCGCAGTTTATATCCATTCTATATCCATTTATATCACTGCTAGCACTTTTCATATTCCAAAGGACCATTTATGGTAAGAAAATACAGTTTCCAATAAATAATCAAAGTGATCATATTTTGGAAGGGGAAAAAAAATCATAGTAGGAAACTTTTGCAAAAAAAATTGGCCTGTGCTGAACTTTGAGCCAATGTGATATCTTTTTTCCTTCCAATAAATCTTCTGGCTTATTTCTGCACCCAAACTACAGTGAGCCAAGAGAGATTCCTGAACACTCGGGTACAGTCAGCCCTTTCCCTGCTGGGGCATGCTGCAGAAATGCCACGAGCTTTTCGAAGCTACCTCCAGGATTTGGTTAGCCAACAGTAAGAGAAGTAACAGACGAATAACATGGCACCTCCAACACAAAATAAAACAGCTTTTTTTGCTACATCAGTGGGGTAAGCCCCGGGGAAGGGGGAAACCCAGCAGGGAAGCTACCCAGAAAGGAGAAGATAGTGGACAGAGAACCCTCCTTACAAAGTCCCACTGTCAATAAAACATAAGTTCAGGTGAGCTCAGGTAATGTTCAAAAGTGTAAGAAGGAAAACCCTAAATGGCAAATCTCAGCATGTGATTAACCTGGGGAACACCCTGCTCTGGAGTCTTTCCAAGGTGACCACTGGACTGAGGTCCATTGGACCTCATGCAGTGTGGGGACTGCAGGAAAATGACTGCTAAGGGGATCTGTAGGGTAATTCTGCAAGTCATCCCCTTCGTGTGAGGTGCTGGGTGGGGGCTCCCTGCTTGGGAGGAAGCGTGAGTGGCACAAGGCTTCTGCTCCTGGCTTTGACAACCTACTTCAAATGGGGTAAAATGCCAGGTTTTATCCTGTGTAGCTGCTAATTCCCCATCTTCTCCCTGTAGAAAGAAGGTCTGAGTAAGTGAATTCCCTGTACTCATATCTTGCTGAAACCTGAGGCCCTCTTCATGGGTATACCACTAGGTCATTCAAGTACATCCAATATCTTTTTTGAGGGGAAGGGAGACAGAGATAGTGTTACACATTGTGCAGAGATGCTATTAACTGTAGTTGAGAATCACAACTTGGATTTATTAGCAGGAGGCCGAAAGACCTACATGGCAGGGGATGTAACTGATAACCTTGTCTCGCATCCGTTTGAGCAAATGAGTCCCCTCCCTGTATGCTCATTAGAGGTTCAGCACTTCTCACGAGCCTTTTTGCAATCACAGTCATTTGGCAAACATATGATACTCCACACATAAAGCCATAACAGGGGCGTATGGGACTTCCTACCTCCTAGATGCTGATGGATGGAATTGCTTTAGCTACTCAAGAAATCAAAAGTCTGGTTTGAGTCTCAAGGCATTCTGCTGATTTTGGTGAACTTCCTTCTGATTTATACTGTGTATGGAGAATCAGGCTTATTCTAAGTTAAACAAGCAGCAGAGTTCAAACAGATGAAAATGTCTCCTTTTCAGTGGTGCTGAGCACTTGTAGTCTCAAAATTTAGAGCAATGGGAAGTTTGAAGATCATCTCATCCCCAGCATTTAAAAAGGGCCTTTTCAGGCAGGGAAAAAAAAAAGTATAAGCAGAAAAAGGTGCAAGCATACTATTGGTGGCAGAAAAGTTGAGCGTGGAGGTATCCATGCTATTTTTGAGCATCAAAAAAATGGGGTAATGTTGTGAGAGAGAGAAAGAGCTAGATCTGTTGCCAAAATCAGACCCATGAAAGCCAGTGGACTACCCCTGGCCTATCATCTCCAATTAAAAGCAGACTTACCAGCCAGAATGGAGATAATCAGCTATCTCCTGGTTTTCACTGGGATTTACCAGAAATGTTTCTTGGTGTCGAAGACACAATTTTGGGCAGAGCCTCAGAGAGAAGAGCTGAGGTGCTCAGAGCTCTCACCTGCAAACGGCAGAGACTGTCTCTGGTCTGCTTAATCACAAACAGGAATTTGAAGGGGCACCTGGCAGATGAAGGAGGGGACCTGCCTTTCAGCGGGCAAAGGGGGGAAAGGCTTATTTTTTCACATACAAAATTTCACATGCTCTAACTCTGGCCCTGCACTGATCTAAAACGACCACCCAAGGTCTCCTGCAAAATGCAGATGTTATTCCTCCCCCAGCCCAAGCCGTGGATGCGTGTCTCTCACTGTGCACCGCATGGCCAGCGAGCGGGACCACAGATAGCCTCAGCGCAATAATGTGTTTTCCTTCCTCTAACACCTGACAGTAGCATGGTCTCACTGACAACTTGGTCCCATTGCTGCATACTTTCCAAGGTGATATTAATCAAACAGATTAACATGTTTGCCTTTAATTTTACATTTTAGAAACAGCTGTTGAGCCACCTCAATGCCAGCAGTGCCTATTGCCAGCATTAGTGTCATTAGTAATCATTGCAGCTGTAATAGCATCATTATCTCCTGCTAAAAGGGTCACTGATGGCTCAGGACAGAGCTTCAGGGAAGCAAAAACAGGTCAGATGAAATGAGATGGAAACTGCAAACTGTTGCTTCTATCTTAAGTTGCATAAAGACCCGTTGATGCTACGTAGAGAGAAATTAATGTGCACAAGCAGCAAAAATTTTGGCTAGAGTGTCATCGGGGAGGTGGGGCTTGTGGTAGCTCTTGTGTCACTTGGGCTAATGTAAAGCATATAAATATGGGAAAGAGACAATGGGGATATTACTACCAACCAAACAGTCTTCATCTCTCAGAGAAAACTTCTCTCCATCTCTTGCTGCCACTTCTTTGGGTAAGTGTGATTGCTGCCCTTTTAGCTTCTACCTGTTTTGCAGAGCTGTTTTCTTAAGTTGATGTAACTGATGGTGACAAGTGCTGGTTCGCTAGTCCAAGAAAATGAGGTCTCCCCAGGCCTTTGAACACATTGTGCTGTTTTTGGGCCATCATCATAAAGAACAGCCCCTTCTGACTTGGAAGAGAGGGTTTTTCCTCTGAAGGTGTCTGCTGATCTCAGCTCTCCTGGGCATGTATGCTACAGGGCTCAGTGGGATGGCTCTTCCAGTCTAGTTTGGCCTTTTGGGGGAAGACAGCAGGGAGGCCAGGACTGATGTGAGCATGTGGATGGAGATGGACTTCTGGTTATAATAATTAGTCATTTACTGTGACTTGTAAAGCCTGACGCGGAAAGCTCTCCTTCCCTCTCAAGCTAGGGCATCTTTAGAAGGTCCATCTGCTACTTCGGTCTCATTTTCATGCCAAAGGAGCTGAAGAACATAAGATGCTTGATGACAACCTATTTCTCCCCCCTAGACCTCCTCTTGCCTCTTAACCCTAGGCCTCAGCGTGCTCACCATGGCTCTCTGGATCCAATCGCTGCCTCTCCTGGCCCTTCTCGCTCTTTCTGGCCCTGGGACCAGCCACGCAGCTGCCAACCAGCACCTCTGCGGCTCCCACTTGGTGGAGGCTCTCTACCTGGTGTGTGGAGAGCGGGGTTTCTTCTACTCCCCCAAAGCCCGACGGGACGTTGAGCAGCCTCTAGGTAAGTCAGGTTGACCTTGAACGCAGTCGTATGCTATATGATGCAAAAGCCAACAACCGCCTATCTTTGACGGTGACACCAGGAATGTCCTTGATGGGGAATGCCAGGAATACCTTTAACATACCAACAGCATCACATTGCCAGTGAAAAGCTCTTCAGGTTAAAAAGGCACATGGGAGGGCAGGCAGGGAAAGAGGATTTATGAGGCAAAAGGAATTGTGGCTGAAAGCTCAAACTTGTCTATTTCTTTGTATGGCCATTACACCAGCCTGGGAGTGTTCATAGAAAATAAAGGTGGAAGGAACCCAGGAAGCCTCCTTCTGCCCCAAGACAGGATCAGTTGTCCCCATCCTATTTCTGACCCATGCTTGTCTAGTACGTGCATAAAAACCTCCAGTGAGGAAGCTTCTTCTGCCTTCTGAAACTGCCCGTTCCCATGCTTAACTGACCTTCTTCTTGAGTGTTTGTTCCCAATATCTAACCTGAACATCCCTTGCTGTAAATTATTTCTTGTCTTCTCCATAGTGGACATGGAGAAGAGTCTAATCCTTTCTTCTTTATGGCTGCTTTTCAAAATATTGGAAGACTGTTCCCATGTCTAGCTTTAACCTGCTCTTAGATAAATCCCCTCTACACGCCCCCCCCACCTTCTTAGGTCATATTTTCTAGATCTCTGTCCATGCAAATTGTTCTGCATTTGGTCCACATCCTTACTGACTGGTGATGCCTGGAGAAGTGCACAGGACCCCAGCTGAGGCCTTGCCAGTGCCAAGTAGAGTGAGCAAACTGGAAGAATGATATTGCATGTTTTTCACACCGCGTTCCTGCCTACACAGGTGGTTTGCCTTTTTCAAAGCAGCACTGTACTGTTGATTGATAGTGATCACTGTCTCCCTTGGATGCCTTGGCCCTCCCTCAGGTGGATCAGCAGTCCTTGAAGGACCGCTACCACAGTCAAACCCTCGTCCTGGATGCGCAACGCAGTCTTCCTGCCTACCTTTAGCATCTTTCCCATTTCCCACTGAACAGCATCCCATCTTTTCAGTGTTTCTATAGTTTCAAAGGTAATTTTTAGCACTAATCTTGCCCTTCAAGAGGCTTGCACCCCCCACAGCTTTATATCGTCTCTTATTTCATGGTGGTGAAATGCTGGTGGAGCTGCTTTGGTTCCCCTCCTTAGGACTCCTGGACTACTGACAAGTGCAAGGGCCGGGAGGCAGGAGGAGATGACAGCCCTGCCCGCACACCCTTGGTGCTGGGTCACTGCCCCTGGTCCAGCACATTGTGTCTGCATGACAGTGCAGGTGGGATGAGGCAGTTCAGAGAGCTGCTCTTCAACATGATGTTTGTATCTAGGCAGAGCCGGGACCTGTAATTCTCCAGCTGTAATGCAAGGATGATGTCTCTCCTGGAGATGGGTACCTGCAGTTCCTCTCAGCTTTAGCTCCTCTGTGAATCCAGCAAGTACACTCTCTCTTCTGTCTTCCAAGCTACTAATGGAGACTTTGAGTAGATGCAGAAGAGACCCCTGCCAAATCCAGTCATTTCAACCCTCTCATTTCAAGATGGACCATTACTTAACCTCCCCTGACTATGATACGCCTCTCCTACCAGTTCTCTTCCCATCACACACTGGTTTCATGTGTATCCAATTCCTTCTCCTGCATATGCAACCATCTCGTGAAATAGTCTTAGAGGTCTTTGGAAGGTGAAGCAAGGTAATGTCATAGCAGAGGTTTGCCATGATTTGCTTTGAATGGCCAGCTGAGCTGTTAGTTGCTCCCTTCTCTGATGATTTGTTTCTGAAGACCACCACGAATGGGTTGGAAGTTTTGTTAGCCAATTCCCTAAATATGGTATTGAGAATTTCATCAGGGCCAACCAGTTTGGAAGTATCTGAGGACTTTCTACCTCTTGTTCCAGGATTTTTGCCTGGGCCACTACCTCTTTGTCACACAAGCTGGTTGTGTTTACAGTCTACTCACAGCTGGCTTGAAGGATGAAGACAAGTAAATCACAAAACATTGACTAGCTATTTCCTCTTCTACTTAATGTTGGACTAAACCTTTCCTAAATTTTCCTCCTAGCACACTAGCATAATGATTTCTTGTTACTCTTGTGCCTTGTTCATTGCATCACGCTTTGGGGGCTTGGGGATTTTGCATCTTGTGCTGTACTTTCATATTGCCCTAGAAACTTCATCTCATTCTCACTTTCCAGGCATTTTCTTTTTGTTGTTAGGGCCTCTTTTCTTCCTACAGGAAAAATCTCTGTTTTATTTGCCATTTTCTATATTTTCATTGGACAACTAAAACCTGAACAGTTCTGTCCACAAGTTTTCAAGTTCCCACCAGCAAATGAGACATTCTGTTGTTTTGTCTGTGTCCAAATACACCAATTCATCATTCCTTCTAAAAACTCATCCCCCAGCTGTGAACAGGGACACACATGAACGCTTTTGCCATCAGCTCGAGGCTACATCCAGGCAGCCAACAGCGGCAGGCTGTTCAGGACCAGCTGGGAAGTGCATCCAGCCCCAGGACTGGACCGTCCATGCAATCCCACAGACATTCCAGTTGTTTGCTCAGGCTCCCGGAAGAGTGGGTAACTGCCCGAGGGGGTTGCAGTCCCAAGCAACTCATCTCTCTGGAGCAGACCAGCCCATTTTATCCTCTTATTTACTAGCTGCTCACCCCAGGGAGGGTGCAGGGTTTCTCTTCTCCACATGCCTGCCTCAATAAAGCCCCTGTATCTCCTTGTCCCTCACACTGCTGATATCCACTCAGCTTGGCTCCTTCTAAGCACCACAGGATTATTTTGGGAGAGGAAACACAGAGCCTGAAGGTGCTACAAGCAGCATCAACCTGGGGAAACCTTTGCAACTTTCTCCCCATTTTCCATCCAACTCTGGTTTAAAAATCTGGTGCCTGCAAATGGGGTTTCTGTGGGGCTTAACAGCTAGGGCTGATGCTGTGTGATGTCCCACGGCTTATCTTTTTCTTTCCTGGCAGTGAGCGGTCCCTTGCATGGTGAGGTAGGGGAGCTGCCCTTCCAACAGGAGGAGTTTGAGAAAGTGAAGCGAGGGATCGTTGAGCAATGCTGCCACAACACATGCTCCCTCTACCAACTGGAAAACTACTGCAACTAATGGCAAGGCCAGCGGCAGGGATCTCACAGGCCGCAGGCAGAAACGCGCACTTACGCTACTGCACCTTCAAAGCAATTGAATAAACATTGTGGATCTACTCGAAGGACTGTGCTGGTTCATGCGTCCATGTCTTGGGGAGGGGGCACTGATGTTTACTTTAGGGTGTCATCATCTGTGCTCGGGTAAGGCAGTTTTAAAAGGTCCTGGAGCCACCCATCATGTCACACTATCCTTCAGCTGTCCAGATGAACTCCCTGGGAGGGAGAGAGGAGGATTACTCAGCGCCGGAGCAGGTAGGCAGAGCACCCAGTACCCCTGGTGCCCGGGGGGTGGGGAGGAGAAGGCAGAGAGGTTTGAATGAGATTTCTCTTTCTAGGGAAACATTACAGGGGAATATCTGTGCCAATGTCATGCTGATCAACTTCCTGCAGTTCACAGCCCAAATATAGCAAGGCAGCTGGGAGACCGAACTTCCTCAGCTGCGTAATGGAAACAGTTCAGATTAAGCAAAGAATTAAGTCACCTATTAATTGTACCCAGAAAAATCATGGATGACCGCCATGACCAATTTAGAAAGTGTGTCCAGTTCCCCCTTCTGCTTGTGGGAGGCCCAGGCAGCGTCCCTGCTGTGGGACGTGCTTGTCGTTCACAAGTATTTGACAAGTCGTGCAGAAAGCAGATTTCATCCAAAAGGAGTTTTGAGTGTATTGGCCAAGAGCTGGGCATTTCAAGGTTGCTGCAAACCTCTTTCAAGCACCTGGCCCCAAAATTGCTGCTTTCTGGGAGGAAAAGCTGCAACGGCAATGCCAGCTAGCTGGGGTGGCAGAGAGTGTGGGGAAGGGTCATGTCCCCTCTGCCAAGGGATTCCCATGCCAGTGTAGTGGAAGCCATGCAGGAGGTCCCCGTGGGATGGGCACAGCCTGGCAGAGTTGGCTGCAGTGGCCAGGGCTGCATTTTGCTGGTGGCAGATTTTGAAAGCTGGTCTGAGAGGAGGCTGTGGTTTTAACAGCCTCTTTTCCCAAACCAGATCCAACTGACTCCATCAGAGCGGCGCAGATGGAAGCTGCCATCTCATCTCTGCCAGGATGTGTTGCTCTCGCTCCTATCATGAGCACAAAATTGACAAAACCACTGCAAACTGAAGGGCTGGAAGAGCAGCTGGAGGAGCTGCTGAGAAGAAGACACAGCCATAACATAGGAAGTCAGAAAGCACCAGCGATTCCCCGTGGTGACCCTCCATATGGGCTCCCTTGATGCATCCAAGAGCCCATGACAGAGGCCGCCTCCTGCAGCTGCCACAAGCAGTGCTGCTCTGCCGGTGATGCTCCACCCGAGCACCCTTCCATCCCTCTCCATCGCCCCTTCCTCTGGGCCCCACTGACTATTCCCAGCAGCAGAGCTTGCAACTGTGACAGGCAGCCTTGGGCCAAAATGTTGTGGTTATGAAAGCATGGCAAGAGGTTTCCTGTTTCTGAGCTACTTGGCTCCCACCAAACCTCATATGGCTCCGGTGGTTTCTAAAGGGGACTCCCTAGAAACAATTCTCCTACCTGTCCTGGTGCCCCATGAGATCAGGACTGGTGTTACTGCAGTAAAAATAGCAGAGCTATTGCTCATGGTAAGGCCACCATCATATTCAGGCATGCA